GGGAAGAAATACTCAGCCTCGGTGTAGAAGCAGACCATTGTGCAACTCATAATCATCAGCGGTCGTCTTACCTGCTTCGATTGCTTGGCGTAACTCCTGGCAATAAGTGTCCTCCTCTTGCGCCTTCCTGACTTCTTTCCAAATAGTCCAAGCCGGTCCAGTGATAGCATTAAGCTCAGCTACATCAGTCTGTCTGGATAGTGCGTCAGCTACTGCATTCTGTCGGCCTGGCCGGTAGATTATCTCAAAGTCAAACCCCATAAGTTTCGACACGAACTTCTGCTGCTCGGTGGTAACGATCCTTTGCTCGAGTAGATGCTTGAGCGGTTGCTGGTCGGTCACAATCCGAAAGCGTCGTCCCAGTAGGTAAGGCCTCAGGCACCTTACAACCTCGACAACTGCTAGCATCTCTTTTACATACACGGATAGACCTAGTCGGGTCGTGCCTAGTACCTTGCTGAGATAGGCTAAGGGTCGTCCTTCTTGCACTAGCACAACTCCAATCCCAATGTCACTTGCATCTGTGTGTACCTCGAACAAGACATCAAACCTCGGCATGGCGAGCACTAGCGTTGTAGTCATGGCGACTTTCAGTTTCCCAAATGCCTCCTCGCTAGCCACGGTCCATGTGAACCCGCCTTTCTTAGTCATCTCTGTCAGTGGCTTGGCGATGGTTCCGTAATCCTTCACAAACTTCCGGTAATAGCCCGTGAGCCCTAGGAATCCTCTCAACTGTGTGAGACTTATTGGCTTAGGCCAGTCGACCATCGCCTCTATCTTTCGTGGATCAACCTTCACGTCTTCGTGGCATATGAAATGCCCTAGATAATCAACCATCTTCTGTCCGAATGAACACATGGATGGCTTGATGTGAAATGAGTTGGCCTCCAAGATTTCGAGCACCACTCTCAAGTGCCCAAGATGTTCAGCCCACGACCTTGAATATATCAAGATATCATCAAAGAATACTAGAACAAACTTACAGAGGTACTTCTTGAAGATGGAACTCATAGCAAACTGGAAAATGGAGGTGGCGTTGCATTGCCCGAATGGCATCACCAAATACTCATAGTGCCCTTGATGCGTACTGTAACACCCCACTAGCATATTAAAATCAGAGTCAAATTTTTGCAATTTCTTTTCTAAAAATACGTATTAAATTGCGAAATCGTGATTCGAGGTGCTACTAAGAAACATTTCTTTTCTAAAATCCGTTATCTTTTCCGAATTAAAAGTATTAAGAAAAACGGAATATCTTAGTCAAACAAGCATGTAAAACTGTATAAAATCTGATTGACAAAACCTGAATATTAACATGCGAGTTTGTAAACCTGAAATTGTCAGCGGAAGTTCAAAACGTGGCAAAATACATATATACATGTCCAAAAGTCCATATAAACAAACCCACGACCACCAGCTCCGCTCACTCCTCCGGACCGACCCTGTAACCTGAAAAAGATAAGAGGAAATAGCTATTTTCACCTCGTTCTGAAGTCATACTAAGTTTTTCATACCACCCAATAAAAAGCTAAGTTTTTCACCCAAAAAGTACGAAGACATATGCGATGAACTATGTGCTAAATAGGCGACAGGTATGAGCATGGGCGAGAAAATTATGAGTTAAAGTATGCGACTGTTCTACGATGAATATTCGGAGATTCGATGTACGATTCGATCAATCGCGGTCCGTCGCCCATTAAATAATTATTATTGTTAGGCGAATGAACTGCGACTATTAGTCGAAAAATTATTCTACGACACAACTACGACATGCCAACGTCGCATATTATTCGCCGAATTAGTTCATAATAAGTTTATTTCGCATTTCTTTCATCTTTCAGTTATGCGAGGCGGTATGCGAATTACCGCATATTGCTAGTATACCCCCTTCGCACTTCTACTCGAAAGTGTATTTTTTATTTATTTTTTTATTTCTTTCATCTTTCAGTTAGTTCAGTTATGCGATGGGGTATGCAAATTGCCGCATATTACTCGCATACCACCTTCATACTTCTACTCGAAAGTTTATTTTTTATTTCTGTCATCTTTCTGTTATTTCAGTTATGCGAATTACCGCATATTGCTCGCATACCCCCTTCGCGCTTCTACTCGAAAGTTTATTTTTTATTTCTTTCATCTTTCATCGATCGAAAGTTTATTTTTAAAATTTAAATTCTTGAATGGTTTAGAAACCGCTGGCAGTTGGAACGTTACGGCCGATTTCGAGGCATCTTATCCGCTTTTCAAAATGCCTGGGCAGTAAAAGCGTGCACGCGAATCGTTTCATCAGTCTACATAAAGCGTGTAATCTTCGATCCATATAATGCCACTTCTCTTACTCCCCATCCGTCCCATTTAACTCTTTGTTAATGGCCCTCCGTTTTTCCCTTTTCTTGTATATGAGAAGCACTTCGCCGGAGATAAACCAGAGTTACAAAATTCTTTCTTTCGACCTGTGAGGCAATTCTTTAACATTACTGTGTCCGAATTGAGAAATCCTAACCTTTCAAATTCGTCGGAGGAAAAAATTCAACGAGCATAAATTTCGCTATCCAACTTTATTAACTTGGCCCCGGCAGGAAACATATATGTCGAGACAGCGACGATGAAGATCAAACCTCCGGGCTCAGGTATTGCCGTATCAACTGTGAGAAGGTTGAAGGTCAGAACGGTGCGCGTCGGCGGCTGAGGCGTAACGGCGCGCCCGGCCCTCTGTCAGAGACAATGCTGGCCTCAACCTCTCTAGGTTGTGGTCGGCCAGGTTTTCCTGACAGAGGAAGGTGTTTGGTCGACGAGGATCTCTTCCCGGAACCTGGCAGAGCCCATCGGTTCAGAGCGTGGTGGTCGGGTCGATCTCATGCTAGAGTTCTACATGGAACTCCACAAACAAGCTCCACCTACAGCGCATCTTCCTGGCATTTGAGTGCTGTGGTAGGCTGGTAGCTCGTCAGCTCCCTCGTCCTAGCTTTTTTTTAGGCTTGGCTGGTCCTTCGATTTTTATTTTTTTTAACTTTGTAATCGGCTGGGGTTGAAGCGACTGCAAATTTTGTAGTGTAGGAATTTCTATTCGATCTTTTATTCTGCGAAATACAATCTTCGCATATTATTCGCCTAGTTGGTGCATAATAAGAAAAAGAAACTATTTTTGGAAATTTTCTATTCTGTGACACACAATGCGAAACACTCGTGTAGTATAAATGAAGAAAAATTCATTTTTTTTTTATTTCTTTTTGAAATCTTCTATTCTGCAAAATACAAACGTCGCGTATTATTCGCCTAGTGGTTGCATAATAATTTTTTTTTAGAATTTAATTTTTTGAAAATTCTTTTTTAGGCGAAATGAACCTGAGACTATTAGTCGAAAATATTACGCACAATAAACGCATAACACGTAGTTTAGGCTAATGAACCTGTGACAATTAGTCGAAATACAAACGTCGCCTAAACAATTAGTTGAAACAAATTCGCATACAAACCGCACAACATTCGTAGTATAATCGAAGAGTTTATTTAAACAAAAATTGTTTTTGGAGATTTTGTATTCTACGACACACATAATTGCGACAAATAAACGTCGCATAATGCATTCGCATGTCAACTGGAGGATATTCGCATACCCACTTTTTGTGTAAAACAATTATATTAAACAATTATTTTGGTCTGATTCCTTATGCGACCGTCTCATGACGGATATGCGTTCATTCACGGGTCTACCACAGGGTATTAAACTGCGAAAGAGATACGGAAAATAAACCATTATATTTATTTTGTTTATTAAAAATGCATCGGAATTGCGAAAGTATGGCGCTTGTTACGCGGACATTACTCGACAGCTGTTATTTCGCATATCGTGTCGTATAGTTTATTATTTAAAACAAAAAGAAAAAAAGAAAGCAAAACGTCGCATATACGCTACAGTTGGACCTCTCAGGAGAAGAAAACAAAAAAGAAAGAGGGGCGAAAAATTTGAAATTCTCCATCTTGAACATTAATTCGCATAGTTAGAAGCAAAAGAACTGTTAGAAATAAAAAGAAAAAAAGAACCAAAAATGATGAACGAGAACGACGTCATGGACTTCTTAAGAGATTCTGAAGATTTCACGAATCAAGCTTTTCTCGAGGCGGCCGGCCAAGCGGGTGCCTTAACAGCAGCTACTGTGGCCGGCTACCCAACGGCTGCGGTAACGGGTATGGCGGGCCGCGACTCAGCGACTATAGACACGGGTCCGGAGGCCATCTATTTTGGAGAGGTAACTTCCATTTGTTGCAATTATTTAATTTAAGTTAATTAATTTCATCTGCTTTAATAGTTGAGAAATAGTTACTTTTGAATAAGTAACAATAACAACAACAATGCGATTTGTTTAGGATTTGTGGTCGTACAAGAGACCGGAACTGATCGATAATTATCAAGGGCTGAAAATCAACATTTACAGCCGGCAGTCTATATGTTCTGATATCAAGAATGAGTTGGGCCACGTTGAAGGGGACTTGACTGCTTTCCAGGGCTCGGTCTTTGGTTCGTTCCTTCAGTTTGATGATAAGGCCAGTGTATCTGCAAAGGCTATGCATGGGGTTTTTTCGCGCGAGGTGACTCGTGTCGGTCAGAAACCGAACGAGATGTGGTTCTGTATTGGTAACAATTTTACACGATTCTCCGCCCATGAGTATGCTGTGGTCACCGGGCTTGCTTTTGGATCGTCTGCGTTTGACCCGAACTCAGCGCCTCCTCCTCCTCCATCGTCGATTTTCTATGAGAAATATAAAGGCAAGCGGATCACTATGCAGCAGTTGTGTGATGACTTCAAGGCGGGGCAGTTCCGTCACTCTAAGGATATGATAGTGAGAGTGGCGAAGATGCTAATGCTGATGTTCTTCATAATTCCTCATGACCACAAGAAGCCTAGGTATATTGATACCTGCTGGTGGGCTTTGCTTGAGGAAGACCATATGTGGAAGAAATTCCCATGGGGGAGTTACTCGTTTCAGTACCTGTTCGACTACTTGCAGACGGCCCAGTACAATAAAATGAAATATCATATCTACGGATTTCACTGGACGTTTCTAGTATGGTGCTACGAGGCAATCCCTGCATTAGGTCGTCAATATGGAGCATGTGCCTCGGTGAGACGTCCACCATGGCTGGTTCACTGGGAACTGAAGACTGTCACACTTCTAAATACATTTTTTGACGAACATGTATTATTTGATACTAATCATTTTTTATTATAGCAAGTGATATTTGAAATTCTTTTTTAAGTCTTAACGATTTCTGATGATTTCTTTATTTTCATGTTCTATTTTTTAAAATTTAGTTGGAGGTGCGTGAGACGCTGGAGCCGTATGAGGAGAGTACTGCGTTGGACCTCTCGAATTTGGATGTTGTTCAGGGGCCTCGATTTTTGCGACGGGCTAACCCGGCCAGTCGTCGTATGCAAGAGTCATCTCTGCAACTTCAAATTGCGGCC